AAGATTTAAGGCCCTGATTCCTGCACCTAAGGATTATTTTAGGATTCTTACTTTGCTTCCTTCCTAATAAGCTGCTCTTGGATTCTGCTTGATTTTTGGTATCATTCTGCTAAGAAGAAGTTTTTTTTCCTGTGAGGGTGGTGTGACACTGGCACAGGTTGCCTGGGGAGGCTGTGGCTGCCCCAACCCTGGCAGTGTTTCATTCCAGGTTGGCTAAAGCCTTGAGCAACCTGCTCTGGTGGGAGGTGTCCCTGCCCAGGACAGGGGGTTGGCACTGGGTAATGTCTAAGCTCCATTCCAACCCCTTGACACACTATGAAACTCTCATCAAGAGTTTGGTGGTTTTTTTGTTTCACTTTTAACACACCATTGTGCTGCAAGTCACTTCTTAGGGGGTTAAAGGGAACAACCCGTTGCAGTCCCTCAGCTCTCTCTGAGTGCTCTTATTCCCTTTTTCCTTGTATTTTTTTTTTTAGGAGTATTTCCTTCGTGTGGAGCTGCTGAGTGAGGCTGCCAAGGATGGAGCTTCCCTTGCTTGCTATGTGCCTCAGTGTGCAAACACACTGCAGTGCAGCTCCAGGCTGGTGGTGAAGAAGCTCCCATTGACCCATGTATGTCCTTTCCCTGGGATTTGGGGATTGGGAACCTCTACAAGCTGCTCCAGTCCCTGTTTTGGGCAGGGAGCATTGCATGGAAACATTCCAGAGCTTCTCTCACTTGCCACAGTGTGCAAATACACTGCAGTGCAGCTCTAGGCTAGTGGGGAAGAAGCTCCCATTGATCCATGGAGGATGTCCTTTCCCTGGGATTTTGGGACTGGGAGCCTTCATGAGCTCGTCCAATCCCTGTTCTGAGCAGGGAACATTCCATAGCTGGATCTCAGGTCCTTCTACTCATACCTTGGGGATGATTCAAGGTGATGTTGCACTTCCCACAGTTCCACTCAAGCCTCAGCCTCTCACCTGACCCTCGCTGTGGTCTCAGGTGGAGCCAGTTTGGGGTTTTGTTGTGTCACATCCCATATCTGACTCTTGGAGCCTCTGCTGAGCCCATGGAACATCCATCAGGGGTTGGCAGAGCACCTCTCCCCCCAGTGACAACCTGGATCTTGGGCCCAGGTTTGGCTTGGATCCCACCTTCTGGCTCTGGGGTGGATCCTTGTCCAGAGGCTATGCTTGAAGGCCAAACTCCAGAGTTAACATGAATCTATGGAGCTTCAGATCCAGGACAAGAGACAATAGATGGCTCTGAGCCATCAGTAGGTGACACAGCACTGATAGGACATGAGGAAACACCTCAGGTTGCACCAGGGGAGGTTTGGGTTGGATATTAGGGAAAAATTCTTCCTCAAGAGGGTTGTCCAACCCCCAGGGCAGTGCTGGGTCACCAGCCATAGGGATGTGGCACTCGGGGACATGGTTTAGTGGTGGCCTTGGCCATGCTGAGGAACAGTTGATGATCTTAAAGGTCTTTTCCAACCTAAATGATTCTGATTCCGTAAGGGATTGCCATGCTTTGGGCACATTGTTCTGTTCCCTGGGTGTGAGGGAGCTGTGCCTGAGGCTGGAAGCAGAAGTTGTGTCCCTCCAGCTTTCTTCTTCCCTGAGATCTCCTCTCTCCCTCCCACAGAGCAATGGCAGCAGAGATGGAGGAGGTTTCCTGTGCCACACTTGCACTCAGCAGTGCTTTGGCTCTCTGACCCCTCTCACCTCCTCCTCAGCACCTCAGCAACAGCCTGGCCAGCTCTGAGGGAAGCCTCCAAGAAGTCCTGTTGATACATCCCAGCTCCGAAATCAGGTGGAGGTTGGAGCAGGATTCCAGCCCAGCTGTGAGAGGAGCTCTCAGAGGGAGGTGTGAGACCTTTCCTCCAGCCCTGCCTTGCCCTCAGGAGCTGTGCCCAGGCCAGGCAGAAGAATATGCACTGTCTAAACTCTCTCAGACACAACAGCTTGGATTTTGGAGCATTTTCCCCAGGCAGGAGCAACCAAACCCTGTCCACTCCATCATAGCACTCTGAGATCTCTGATCCACCACCAGAAGAGGAAATGCAATACTGGAAAGGACCCAAAGAAATTCTTTGTTCCCAGAGAAATGCACTTTACAAGGAACTCATTCATCGCTCCTAGAGGAACGGATTTTCCTTGAAGCCAAAGGGATTTCCCTTCTCCTGCAGCAAACCATGAGGGAAGAAACGAGGCAACAGCTCCAGATCTGCTTTGCTTTGGTTTCAATCTGATTCAAAGACAAACTGGAGAGTTTTTAACCCTCAAATTAAGTTTGTAACAAGAAAAAAAGAAAAGCATTAATACTTTATATTTTCCTCTTTGCTTCTGCTAAGAAGTGTCTTGGGCTGATTTCTTGCCCAGCCCTCACAGCAGCACAGGTGCAGGAAATCCTGGTGGATTCCCCTGTCCATGGGAAGACACTGTGGCTGCTTGTACCAGAACTCCCAGGATCCAAACTGGAGCTGCTTTTAGATGAGCTCTGCCCTTGGCTATGGGCCCAGAGAGTGATGCAGGAAGCTCCTGCATCCTGTTATCCCCGTGGGCATTCCTTGAGCTGGAACTGCTCCACTGCATCTCCTTCTGCTTCCCAGAAACATTCCCTGCTCTGCTTACATAGCATGGGCAGGAATTCACTCAGTGCTTAGATGTGGATGTTGGACCAGGAACCACCAGTGCTCCTTCCAGCCTGTTTTCCAGCCATCCCCTGGTGTAGAAATTCACCCAAGGCTTGGATTTGGATGTGGGTGTGGAACCAGGAGCATCTAGTGCTCTTTTCAGCCTGTTTTCCAGCAATCCCATGGCGTGGAAATTCCCCCAAGGCTTGGATTTGGACATGGATGTTGGACCAGGAACCTCTAGTGCTCCTTCCAGCCTGTTTTCCAGCCATCCCATGGTATGTTTGGACAGGCAATGCCACTGCTGGAGGGTTTGATCCCCAACATCCACAGTGCTGCTTCCTCCAGCTCCAATGGATCAGAGGCACGAACAGGATGAGTCACAGCAGCAAGGAAAGGACATGGAATTGAAGTTATTGGATGCTCCTCCTGCTTCCCGGGCTTTGGCCACCAGCTGAGACCTGGCAATTGTCACTGTTTGCCTCTGCAGGATGGGAATAGCTCTGCCTTGGGCACTGTGGAGATGGATTTGATCCCAACCCAGCTCCCCCCTGTCTTCCCCTCCCTCCCTCCTGCTGAGACACCCAGTCAGTGACCAAATCCACTGCTCTTTGTGTTCTTTTATGTACAGTATTTACACCTTGATACATCAAAAGGCACCAGGGTGGAGCTGCCTCTTGTATGGGAGAAGGAAACAAGTGGATGGAGAAAAGACGTCCTAGGTCATGTTATTGCCTTTGGTGGTGTCTGTAGTGACATCACTCTAGTTTGGGTTCCCTGGGAGCAGCCAGAGCTGGTGGCACCTGGAGCAGCACCTAAAGCCTCTGGAGGGTTCCTGAGGGCAGGATGGTGGTGCTGGCACCTTCTCTGTGAGCTCCGTGGCTGGAAGAGAGCAGGAGAGGAGAGGGATGAGGATGTGCTGAGGAAGGCTCAGCTGGGTCCCTCTGCCAGCAGCAGTGCTGCTTGAGGGGCTTGGGGCAACGTGGGGACAAACTGGGGACAGGGCTGGGCCTGCTGCTCTTGCTTCTGGGCAGGGAATGAAGTTTGGCTTCACCTCCTGCACCCCAAACCCCATCCCAACACTTCAACTCCATTCCCAGCACCCCAAGCCCCATTCCTGGCGCCCCAAACCCCTTCCCTGTGGCACACCCCTCTCAAGCCACCCCCAGGGCCACCTCCTCCAAGTTGTGGCTCCTGCTGCAGGACACCCATGGTGCTCCCCCACCCTCTCCTCACCCACACACCTTGGGGCTCTGGAGTGCTGTGATCCATGGGAATCACTTGTTGAGGCTGGGAAGAGCAGCCACATGTCCCCAGAGTGAGGATGCTCCATGTGGAGGACAACTGGAGATGAGGACATGCTCTGCTAGGTGTTGCCACCACTGAGGGAAGTGTCCAGCCTTCCATCCCAGCCTCGAGCATCCTGCGGTGCACCGAGTCGCCTGTTGGTGAGTGCTCAGCCCGTGGGGACACTGCCAGGGGGTGACACCTGGTTCTCAGGGGCAGGAGACACCATGGGGATGCCTGTGGCTGCCACCGTGTAGCTGTGACTTCGGTACCTGTGCAGGGGAGAGGGGATGGAGGAGAGAGGAAAGGGGAAGGGGAGAGGGAAAGGATAAGGAAGAGGAGATGAGGAGAAGGAAGAGGAGACAAGAGGGGAGAGGGAGAAGAGTGAAGTGTCACCAACACCCCAAGGCCTTCCCTTGGCTTTCTGGACAGCCTAGAAGCCAAGGACAAGCCATAACCAGGGTGGGAAGACCTCGTGGGGTTTGGCACACTCACAGTTTCATCCTCCAGCAGCAGCAGGCAACAATGGTGCTGACCACCAGCACCAGGAGGCCTGTGGGGGAGACACAGTGACTGAGGAGCATCTTCAGGGCAAGGTGTTCATCCAAACAGCTCCACAAGGAGCCAAACCCACTTTGTGCACAGCCCCAAGGTGCCATCTCCATCCCAGGAAGACATTTGGGTGCTGCATCCTTCCCCCTTGGTGGCATTGCCATGGCATAAAGCTCCCTCAGCCCCCTGAGGGCTTTTAGGCTTGAAGAGTCTTTAATTGGCAAAATAAGGGATTTGGTCATCTTACCAATGGAAGAGGCCAAGGTCTGTATGGAAACTGGAAGAGAGGAGAGAAAAGGACATTTTTAGGTGGGAATGCTGGAAGGATCCTCACTATAAACAGGGTTGGAGAGAAGGAAAATCCACTGGGACAGTCAAAGAGCCTTTGCTGGATGAAACTAGCCCCAGGGGTGGGTTGTCTTCTCCAGGGAAGTGACCTAACCTACTGCGTGATCCGTAGGGGTGGCAGGCAGCAGGGTGGTTTTCTCTCCCAGTGTGGCTGTCTCCAGTGCTGGGGACATCTCTGTTGGCATGGAGGTCTCCAGTTCATCAGGTGACTGGCTGGCAGCTCCTGAAGAGGGGCTCGAGGTTGGAGTGGCATTGGTGGTTCCTGAGGGGAAAATGGTGTTAGATCTTGTCATTCCACAAAGTAAATTACTTTGGTAGCTACTATTGCTTCAGTGAGGAGTTGAGGCAGGTTGGGAGGGCAACACACCCCAACCAGCAACTACTGCATGGGCAGGAGTCTGGAGCACAAGTTCATGAGGAGAGGCTGAGGGTGTTTAGCCTGGAGAAGAGGAGGCTCAGGGTAACCTTATCACTCTACAACTCCCTGACAGGAGGTTGGAGCCAGGTGGGGTCAGGCTCTGATCCCAGGGAACTAGAGACAGGACAAGAGGACACAGTCTCAAGCTGCACCAGGGGAGATTCAGGTTGGACATTGGGAAGAATTTCTTCCCAGAAAGGTTGAATAGACTCTGGAATGTGCTGCCCAGGGAGGTGGTGGAGTCACCATCCCTGGAGGGGTTCAAGGAGAGACTGGACATGGCACTTAGTGCCATAGTCTAGTTGCCATGGTGGTGTTAGGTCATGGGTTGGACTTGATGATCTCAGAGGTCTTTTCCACCCTGATTCATTCTGGGATTCAGTGATGTAATTTCACACAACTGAATTCATTTGGTCACTGAAACACTTTGCTTCCCACACCCTGGTGGTTGTGGTTTGGCCATGGTCACGGTCACACTGACCCCAAACCAAAGCCTATGGGTGCATTCACCCCTTCCTCACCTCTCTGGGTTCTCCTCTCTGTATGTAGCACAGTTGGGACCTCAGGGCTGGTGGTTTGTGGAGGCAGAGCTGGGTCTCCTTTGGGACAACACAACACTGGGACGCCATCAACATCACCACCACCACCCACATCACCCCACATCCTCCTCTGCCACAGCAGTGCCAGAGGTGTCCCCACTGAGGCCTTACGGATGCACTGGAGCTTCACTTCGGTCCAGTGGGGCTTGGTGGAGCCCTGGTGGAGGACACACTGGATGAGGCTGGAGGTCCCAGCCTTGCGCTTGTAGCCTGGGTTGCAGGTGTAGCGCAGGAAGGTGTTGAGCTGAGTGTTGTCCCCCACGTCGATGTGAGCATTGGCCACGTCCTTGGGGCGGCTGCATCGTGGTGACACTGCAGGGAGGAGACAAGAGACATGGGGATCACTGCAGGGAAGTGACAAGAGACATGGTGATCACGAGACATGGAGATCACTGCAGGGAGATTGGACAACCTCTGGCCTTGGCTTGTTGCATTGAACTTTTCCCAAGAGGGGCAAATCTTGTTCCCCAGAGAGGTTGTGGCTGCTCCATCCCTGGGAGTGTTCCAGGCCAGGTTTGATGGGGCTTGGAGCAACCTGGGCTGGTGGGAGGTGTCCCTGCCCATGGCAGAGGGTTGGAACTGGATGATCTTTAAGGTCCTTCCAGCCCAAGCCATTCTATGGCCCCATGAAATCCTGCCTGGGGATGATTCTAAGGAGTTGGTGCTGCCTTAGGGGTGAGAGAGCCTCATCCAGCCTGCAGAGATCCATCTGGGATGGCTGTGGTGTGCGTGAGGAATGGAGAAAGGGATAAACTCAATTTCTGATGTGTTTGTGGTCACATGTAGTAACTCTTCTGGTCACCAAAGGCTTCCTGTGGAATTCCAGTCCCTCTCAGTGAGCATCCCAGGCCAGCAGCCCTGGCTGCATCCCAGCACCAGCAGCTGCTGCACTTTGGCTCTGCTCACCACCCACTTCTCTCTGCCT